TAGGAGTTCTTTACATATTTTGTGTATTAACCCTTTGTTAGACACATGATTTGCAAATCTTTTCTCCCATTCTCTGGGTTGCCTTCTCACTCTATTATTTGTGTCCTTTGATAAAAAGTTTTTAATTTTGAAAAAATTCCTTTTTTTGCCTGTGTTTTTGGTATCATACCTGTGAAACCACTGACAAATAGTCCATTTACTTTTAACAAATTCTGACTTATAAGACAAAAAGGATGATTTGCAATGCAAAACAATTAGATTTTCTCATTCAAAACACAGGATATTAAAAATAAATAAAATTAGAGCTAGCAAACTCTGGAACTTTATTGAAACTTTAACTTTTGAAAAAAATATTACATTTTATTTGTTTAGTTAATTACTTTGCCTGAAGTTTCTAATTCACATTTAGTTCATGGATGCTTTCAAACGAAAATAATATGAGAACTCTTTTGAAGGCTACATCTATGTGTTATGTGTTTTTGTTTTGCCAAACCGCCTAGTAGAGGTAATAGCAAAGAGCAGCTACTCAATATACCCTTAAAATAATGTTAACCCAGGTGGGACTATTTGATAGTATTTACACCGTATATTCATTTTATAGTTGAACAAATTGATATATTGGGAGGCAAAATAATCTAAGTGATTAATACTGAGTATAAAACAGATGCTTTGCTTGCACATAGAACAAAAATGGATGGGTTTAGACATTTAGATGGGCTGTCCAAACTATTGGGACAATGGATACCTGAGGGATGCAGGTGTGCAGATCATGTTGTGCTTTAATTGTGAGCAGGCGGCACAAGGGGGACACGAAGATAAATGTCTGGTCCCCAAGAAAATTTACTCTAGAATTTTGCCCTCAATCCTGTAAGTGGCCCTAAAAACTCTCATCTTGTCCCTTGGGGATTCCCACAACTCACATATCTCCCACTTATTAGCAAAGTATATTGACAAATGCTGAGAAACCATCTGTGTAAATTGCCATCTTGGCTGACCAGACATCTTACTTTTTTTTCTTTTCCCCAAGACAGAGTCTTGCTCTGTTAGCCAGGCTGGAGTGCAGTGGCGCAATCTCGACTCACTACAACCTCTGCCTCCTGGGTTTAAGCAATTCTCCTGTTTCAGCCTCCCAAGTATCTGGGATTACAGGTGAGTGCCACCATACCCAGCTAAGTTTTGTATTTTTAGTAGAGACGGGGTTTCACCATGTTGGCCAGGTTGGTCTCGAACTCCTGACCTCATGATCTGCCCACCTCGGCCTCCCAAAGTGCTGGGATTACCGACATGAGCCACTGTGCCTGGCCAGCATCTTACTTTTAAACTCATTTTTAAAATAAAATTTATAGTATTTTAGGCCTTAAGGGGCCTTTCAAGGCATTAGTTTCATATGCCTTTCTTTTCAAATGAAGAAAAAGGGGCTGAAGGAGGCAGTGACTTGATACAAATAAACTGCCAGTAAGTGGTGTAGTCCAGATCTTAAAGGGACTCCCAGATCCACAGGCTTTTACTGTTATCCCTCTGCATTCATGGGAGATTGGCTCCAGGATCCCCAGTGTTGCCAAAATCTGAGGATACCTTAGTTCCTTAAACATAATGGCAGAGTATTTGCATTTAATCTATGCACATCCTCCTTTATACTTTAATCGCTAGATTACTTACGATAGCTAATAAAGTGTAAATGCTATGTAAGTAGTTGTTATACTGTATTTTTAAAGCAGTATTGTTTATTGTATTCTTTAAAATTTTTTTTGAATATTTTTTCATAGATGGTTGGTTGAATTAATAAATGTGGAACCCACTGATAGAGAGGGCCAACTTTATATTATCAGAAATGTCACCAGAGGCAGAAACAAAAAAGGGACTATAGATATGCATTCCAGGACTTGAGTTTTCTCTTTGTGGTCCAGAAGCTTGCTCACCCTCACCCATCCACAAAGCCAGAAAATCTTTGGTTTCTAACACTTTGACTCTCCTAATCCTACTAACAAAGCCCTGGGGATCCTAAACATGGACTTCCTTACTCCAGCCCCAGGATCCCTTTAGCTGAATCCATTGCCACCAGAAATGGGATGGCTGAACTCTTTCCCAATTTTCTCCACTCTCAGCTACCTTTGATGAAAGGAGCTTCATTCGGTAAAGATTAGGATTGCTTGCTACTCAGGGTATTCCTGTTTCATTATTCACAAAAAATTGTACTGACAATTTTCTAAAATACTCAAATTTATCTGACCTTACAAAGAACATCCACTGGAAAATTATCAGACATTTGTGACAGTCATTTTGAGTTGAATTAAATTTTTGATGTGCTGTGAAATTGGGTCAGTGCATTAGAATTACATTTTAATAGTTATGAATGCACTAATAAAATGTTGTTCTTCCATGCAAATTGGCAACACTCCCAGGCTTAAGAAAGCTTTGAAGAAATGGATTTCAAAATTCCTGATTAACAAATATGTACAAGAAGTCAGAAAAGACAAATCAAGAATTTTCTAATAATATACACAATACATTCTAGATTTATCTTACTATTATGATCTTACATGGGTTTCATTTGCAATGAAAAAGACAACATTGTTCAATGCTTTGAGTAAAAAGCAGGAAATTTATAAAAGGAGAAGCTGATCTTTCTTCTTAGAGTTTGTGATTCCAGTTCCAGTGAAGTCATTGTACATAGTCAGCTGTTTTCTGAGTCGCTTAACAGAGTAAAAATAGGACAAAGCGATGGAAGTTGTGGGGACTCAGATTTCCACTGTATGTTACAAAGAACTTCTTAACAACACACTGCCTTGTGAGGGAAAAGATTGCATCTCATGCAGAATGTTTAAGCAGAAGTTGGACAACTATCTTTCAGAGATATTATAGAAGAATGGTATAGCTAGTCTTTTGACTTCCCTGGGCCACATTGGAAAAAGAATTGTCTTGGACCACACATAAAATACATTAACACTAATGTTAGCCCATAAAATACACTAACACCAGCACATAAAATACACTAATGCTAGCACAAAACACACTAACACTAATGCTAGCTGATGAGCTAAAAAAAAAAAAAAAAAATGCAAGGCTGGTTCAACATACGCAAGTCTATAAACGTAATTCACCACATAAACAGAACCAAAGATATGAACAGACACTTTACAAAAGAAGACATACGTGAGGCCAACAAACATATGAAAAAATGCTCATCATCACTTGTCATAACAGAAATGCAAATCAAAACTACATTGAGATACCATCTCACGCCGGTAAGAATGGCGAACATTAAAAAATCTGGAGACAGCAGATGCTGGAGAGGATGTGGAGAAGTAGGAACACTTTTCCACTGTTGGTGGGAGTGTAAATTAGTTCAACCATTGTGGAAGACAGTGTGGCGATTCCTCAAGGACATAGAAATAGAAATTCCATTTGACCCAGCAATCCCATTACTGGGTATATATCCAAAGGATTACAAATCGTTCTACTATAAGGACACCTGTACACGAATGTTCATTGCAGCACTGTTTACAATAGCAAGGACCTGGAACCAACCCAAATGCCCATCGACGATAGACTGGATAGGGAAAATGTGGCCCATATACACCATGGAATATTATGCAGCCATCAAAAACGATGAGTTTGGGTCCTTTGTGGGGACATGGATGAACCTGGAAACCATCATTCTCAGCAAACTGACAGAGGAGCAGAAGATCAAACACCGCATGTTCTCACTCATAGGCGGGTGTTGAACGATGAGAGCACATGGACACAGGGAGGGGAGCACTACACACTGGGGTCAGTTGGGGGGAAATAGGGGAGGGACGGTGGGGGGTGGGGAGCTGGGGAGGGACAGCAGGGGGAGAAATGCCAGATGTAGGTGATGGGGAGGAAGGCAGCAAATCACACTGCCACGTGTGTCCCTATGCAACAATTTTGCATGTTCTTCACATGTACCCCAAAACCTAAAATGCAATAAAATAAATAAATGGGGAAAAAAATAATAATAATAATAATAAAAAATGCAAAAAAAAGAAAACTCAAAATGTTTTAAGAAAGTTTATGAATTTGTGTTTGACCACATTCAAAGTCATCCTGGGCCACATGCAGCCTCTGGGCCCAGGACAGGTTGGACAAGCTTCTTATAGAAGATACTTCATAATGTTGCATGAGAAGTATACTAGATGACGTTCAAGATCCTTTTGAATTTTAAAAGTGGGCTAGCGTAATCTAAAAAATAGAGCCAAAAGTTACGCAGTTTCCCTGGTTGAATCACTGTTAAATAGCAAGTCTTAGAGATGAATTTTCACTTAGCCGAATTTTTAAGTTAGGAGTATTAAACTTACCTTTCTGGAACTCACATTAGAGGGTAAGGGAGAGACAGCTTTGGATGCAAAAATAACTCAAGTGGGGCTGGAGGAACGTGACAGGTTATACAAATGTAAACACCTTGCAGGGCCAGCAGCTCCTCTGAAGCCAGGCACAAGACAGGAGTATAGTGGAAGTTGAGGGCCAGCTTCAGGTGTTCAAAATCATAAAGGATTTTTAAATTTTCTTTCTTATCAAATCATTGCCATCAACCCTAATCCTTTACATTAGGAACACACAGGAAATAAACAAGAGAACTCCGGGACAAATGGCCAAGACCACACAAGAAATATTTGTTGGGGTCCAGCCATCGCCCATCCCCAGTGAATGTTAGCACAGTGGAGTGTAGAGTTTTCTTCAATATCTAAAAGCTTACACAAGGCAAAAGTGAAAGTTTGCCTTGGTACCCTTCCGTTTTATCACATCCAAGGTTCACATCGTGTCTCTTTTCCACAATCCTCTTCCTTACCCCTTCCCCTTAGTTCTTCCCTGGAATACCTGACTTTACCAGTGACTCACATGCAGGACCTATTCTTCTGCTCATCTGAATCAAAATTTATCTAAGTTATTCCTCATCCCTCTCGACCCTCTACATATGTTGTAGAGTGAATTAATGGCAAGATTTAAAGACAAACAGAAACATACTCTATGTGTCTCACCTTAAAAAGGACCTCTCAGTCAGTTGGGTGCAGCGTTCTGGGAAGTCTTCACATGCCTTCTCCACCGCAGAGAGCTCCTTGCTCTTTAGAAGAGGAGACCACTCTCCCGGGTCAGGAAAGATCCTTCTCCTACAGCTGGAAAATGGACAGGAAGCAGCTTGGAGCTGACTTTCTCTGTGCCACCTGCCAAGGGCTCCCCAGTAGCATCACTAGAATCCAGCACCCAGATGTGGCCCTTGTTGAAGTCACAGTTTTTTTCCATCTCCACTTTGAAAATATAGAAAATGACCAAGATGAAAATACAAGTGGCAGTCATTAAGGAAAAGATAACAAAAGTGGCCAAAGCAAGCATGAAATCCACAATGAAAATAATCAGTTTTGCCAACATGTTTGCATTTCTCTTCGTTCACAGAATGTATTTATTTCAAAAGTCGCAAGGCACCCACCATGCAATTATGTCTTTGTAAAATGTGGGCAGAAATATGGACATTTCTAAACATGCTGAAGAGTGTTGTAATTCTTCCAAGTATCTACCAGGAAGGCTTGTATAATGCAACTTTTGATTTCCCAACTGGTTCAAAATAGTGGCTAAAGGTAAAGTATGGAATATTGCTTCATTGCAGGGACTTCAATGGGGAGAAGCCCAAGGATTTATTTTGTTCCATAACTGTGTAATTACTGGTTCACTTGGATTTTAATTTCCATAGGGTAAAGACACACTAATGTGCATTTATAGCTTGAAAGGCTATAATGGAAATCTGATGTTTATTGGAAAATTAAAATGTGCCAGTCCAGTGTGAAAGGAAAGTAAAGCCGTTTTCAAACATGCAAAACTTCAGAAAGCTTATTTCTCATGCATGTTTTTTTTAAAAGTTACTAAAGAATATAATTTAATAAAATATTTTGTTTGGCTGAAAGAGAAATACTTGGCATGTAAGAAACTGCAAATTTAGCCAATAGAGTAATGAATTTAAATCCCAGAATCATAGCTCAGCAACAGACATACAAGGCAATAAATTCAAATTAGAAAAGGAACTTAGTGAGCTACCAGAGATAGTCTCTAAGAAGAGAGTCACTTTCCTATACTAAGTGATATGATGAAAAACCATGATGATCTAAAAATAAAATGGCCAGTATATATCTTAGTTAACAAGGTAAATGAAAGGTAATAAGAGAATTCGAGAAAAACCACAACGTTGAATAATGAGCTATGATCTTCATATGAAACAAACTAAACTGAAGCACAATTCTGACAAATTGATGGAATAGGGGAAATGAGAATTTATTTGTGCTTAATATTCAGAACATTCTTCTTTAAGTAGCACAGATTGAGAGTGGGAGATAGTACTTCCAAAGGGTTCAATCACACTGCTTGGTTGTACAATGAAGTTGCCAAACTCATAATATTTCAAATGCTGTCACATGTTTTACATATCTAGAGATCTAAAACAAGACAAGAAAATTGAATTTGTTGAAGTGATAGAACAGAATAAAAAGGTTATGAACCTTAACAATTTAAAAGTAGTGCTATAGCTTGACAAAAGTTTGGAGGCATAGTGGGAGAGATGGAGAGAAGTGAGGGGAATATTAGTTTCTACACCTTGCATAGCTGGAATTCCAAGGATATTTTCTAATATTAGTGCAAGAAAAGAAGAGTAGGTATAGTTTTCAAAATAATAAAGAAGACTAATGGGAAACCTAAAAATACATATTTAATGAGATTTGTAAGATAGAATGCGTAGTACAAGATGTTAAATTCTTCATCTTTTTGGCAGGAAATTAGCAGATACTGTTTAAAATTGCCAGACAAAAAATTTGATGTATTAGCATATTATCTAGATCTTCACTGTCTAATATGACAGCCACTAGCCACATGTGGCTATCGAACACTTGAAATGTAGCTAGTCTGGATTAATATGTGCTATAAGTATAAAATACAGTTAAGAGGTAACATATAATTTCAAATATTCATTTTTTCATGTAGACTACATATGAAATAATTACATTGTGGATAAATGGCATAACATAAAATGTATCATTAAAATTATTTTCACCTGCTTCTTTTTACTTTTTAAAATGTGGCTACTAGACAGATTCAACGTGGTTCACATTATGTTTCTATTGAACAGCACCGGTTTAGAATTTCCACACTAATCATCACAAGAACCAAAACCAAAAAATGTTAAACATAGTCCTCTTTGGAAAGTAAGACAGATGTGGGGAGAGAGAAAGATTTTACATTTTTATTTTGTGCCCCTTTTTGTAGTCTGAATTTTTATTGTCAAGTCCATGCATTATTCTTCAAATAAATATCGAATGAAATACACATAAAATACAATGAATAACGGTTATGACACATTTTTAAAGAGTGTATTAGCTGGGTGAACTGGAAGCAAAAATCAAACGAAATGAGAAGAGTAATTTAGATGACATGCAAAAACAACACACCTATAGGAAAAGAATGAAAGGGAAGTGTAGATAATTGTAACGGGGAAGGGAGATTATAATACATTTTAGATATTAAATTAAATGTATTATAATCTACATTTTAGACACTAAATTTAGATTATAAAATATAGTAATTAACAGCGCATTTATTAAAGTTAAGCTCTAGTTTTAGAAATCATTGGGTAGTTTTCTGCATATTAAATTAAACAGTAATTTTTAATAGCCAGTAGAAGACGGCATTGTGTTGGTTAATGCAGTGTACCTAGCTTTATGCTTAAGTAATACACACGTGCTCCTATTTAACAAAGAGATAAATTTGGCGGTAATTGTTCTCAACTAAAGAAGCTTGTTCTCAACTAAAAGAACCAAAAAAGAATTTCAGAATTGAACACCGTTAAATACTATCTCAAATTCAACTCCCTAATTTCACAGAACTGCTGGAAAAGCAACAAAGGCAGGGAAAGAATCCAGATTTTTCTAATTACCATTTTTAAAGATTGTATGAAAGTAAATTCACATACAACGTTTAAAATCAAATGTAGAGTCAACATTTCTCAGGAATATTAATTAAAATTAAATAAATATTACTATTAATTGAAAAAAATATTGAGTTCAGTCTTTCATAATGAAGAGCAAATGTTTAGAGGTCACTGGGGAGAAAACTCTGTTCCTTTAAGAATTTGTTCCATCAAAAATGCCTGTAAAATTGTCAGAGGAGCGGACAGAAATGTAACATCCATATGAATGAACTGTCCTTTTGAGTATTTGTTTTTAAATTTGCTCCACTGTGTGATTTTAAAAAGAGAGGACTATATTTCCACTTTCACTTTCAATTGTCTCTAATTTCCCTTTAGATCATCCTTCCTTTGGCCAAAACTTTGTTTTCTATTGGTATTTGCATACAATGGCCTTTGCTAATAGGTTAAATTTCCTCAGCCTTTAAGGTATGTGATGGTAAATTTTAATTAAAAATAACTTCTTTTAAAGAATAGATTTTGAAAGAAAAAGATAGGAAAAGATGAAAAGGTAGGGAAAAAAGAAAAGGGGAATTGAGGCATTAAGAAACATCATGAGGCTGGGCACAGTGGCTCACTCCTGTAATCCTAGCACTTTGGGAGGCCGAGGTGGGTGGATCACCTGAGATCAGGAGTTCAAGACCAGCCTGGCCATCATGGTGAAATCCCATCTTTAAAAAACAAAAAAGAAAGAAAGAAAGAAGCATTGTGAAATTCAAGGCCTGGCCCTGTGTCGGGAGCCTGTAATCCCAGCACTTTGGGATGCCAAAACTGGGGAATCACTTGAGCCCAGGAGTTTGAGACCAGCCTGGGAAACATAGTGAGACCCTGGTCTGCATAAAAAGTAAAAAAATTAGCCGAGCGTGGTGGGTCATGCTTGTAGTCCCAGCTACTCAGGAGGCTGAGGTGGGATGATCGCTGGAGACATCCTGGGAGACGGAGGGAGGCTCTAACTGAAAAAAAATAAAATAAAATAAGAATTCAAACAAACAAAAAAAATGGTACAGAATGAGTTGGGCTCAGAGATTATAGCAAATTTTACCTACTCTACGGATTTTGAACTCCAGGTGTCTGGCTAGTGTGAGACCATGAGGGCGCGGATTGGAATTGTGGTTTCTCATGTCCTTCCACACAAAAACCAGTGTGATTTCAATTGTAGATTGATTTGTGGCTCAAGAATAAAAAGATCACAGAAATTGTTTTAATCAAGTACAAGAACTTTGGGTTCTTATCATAGAACATATGTATGTAAAAGCTTTTAGATTTAGAACTAGCTCTGGTAGAGAACAGTGCTTTAAGATATAAAGAGGTTTGCTGACATGTATTTTTATTGACGGATGAGTTTTTTCTGAATATAAATCAGATCTTCTTTTTGACTGCCAAAAATCACATTTAACTCTTCACCCTAAATAGCTCCCAAAATATATTTCAAATTATTTAAAATTCATTTTAAACCAGTAGCAATGAAGGCTTCAGTCAATTTAAAACCACTGCAGTTGATTCCTGCAGCTAAATCACCCATTTAATATCTCTTACTTTTCAGATCATCAAATCCCATAAGATTTGCTATAAGTCTTTTCACTTCCACCCCAAAATGACTTAGGTAGACACACTGTGAATTAAATGATGTTATAACTTGATTTATGTACATCTGGACTTTCAATCCGATGGCTTCCTAGAACTCAATCAATCTTTATGAAGTCCTGGTAATGTACTCCAAAAGAACTGCAATGCAGTGAGTTATAAATGAAGCCTGGAATTTTGGCAATGTTACTAAGTAAGGAGCTGTGCGACCTGGCCCGTGCTTTACAGCTGCTGATGGAGGAGCGATTCCACTTTGGAATCAGCAGCTCCCTGGGCTATGTTTCCTGTCCTTTCAAGTCAACTACCATGACCTGAAATGACTTTTTATTTTTTTCACTGTGCCACTGCTGAGAAAGGTTGAGAAGAGCTTCAGTGTTTAGACTCCTTTAATATTTCTTTTCTAGAGTTAGTTGAAGCGTCTCGAACTTGCTTGTAATTTCACCCTATTAATTTATTTAGATAGCAGCCTCCTTACACCTAATATAATGTAATTCAGTAAGTCTGATCATTATATTATCGTTTCCAATATTAGGGGACTCTCCGCCCTTATAAAGCATTAAACTTTCCTTTTCCATTGACATCAGGCTTGGCCACATGACTTGCTTTGGCCAATGAAATGTGGTCAGAAATGTCAGAAGCCGGTTCTGAGCAAAAGCTCTAAGAACCACTCTGGTTTCACATCATTCTCTTCTCACAGCCAGTGGCCTGGTAGGTCCCAGGTAGGGGCTGCTCATTCAGCCCGCGTGGCTCCAGATACAAGAGCCTAACTCAATCTATGATTGACATGAAAAATGAGCAAGAAAGAAAACTGAAGGCATCTGGTAATCTCCCTTTTTTTGCCAAAATGGAGATAGGTCTGGAAACTTAAAGTCTGAAGACCTCTCTTTTCCCCTCCTTCTTTGAGGTCAGCATTAAATTGGTCACTATAGATTTCT